TTTCGTTTTTTTAATATATTATATGCCTAGTTATTCGCCGTACCCGTGTCCCCTATTTTAGGATTGCCGTTTTACCGTGTCCGTATCGTACCCGTGTCCGTGTCCGTGTCCGTATCGGTGCAACATAGGGGAAAACCGGAAAAAGAGAAAAAGCCAATAAAGAGGGTTTTCTTTGGCCCAACAAACCACAAGCATTTTCACAGTTGCCTTTGCCACCCCCAAATCCAATCTACCCCCATTTTTGAAGGTTGCGAAGAGAGAGAAAGTACGAAAAAAATGAGTGGAGTTGGGAAGAAGATTGCTGATGTCACTTTTAAGGCATCCAAGAACATCGATTGGGATGGCATGTCTAAGCTCATTGTCTCTGAAGCTGCTCGCAAGGAGTTCTTCACTCTTCGTCGTACCTTCGATGAAGTCAACACTCAGCTTCAAACCAAGTTTAGCCAGGTCCGATCTTCGATCTTATACATTATAAACCCTAATTTATTGTTTACCCATTTCTGGTTTTTGTTGATTTATTGTTATTATTGCGGTTAAGGGAAATTTTTCCGATGTTTTGGTTAATTGATTGTGATTTTTTTTGAAATGCGATCTGGGTTTGTTGTTGCTGTGAAACCCTAATTTTTTTAATTTGCGATTGTTCCTGATTTAAGCCCAGAAATGATTTGATTGCATGATTTTCCGAATAGGTTTGATGGGATTCTTTTTGTATTGCTGAATAACAATGTATTGAGTAATAATAGAGAAGGATTGTGAATTGATTGGATGGTTTTTTGGGGAAAGCTCGAACATTTTTGAGTACTTGGATAATTTTCGGGGGAAGCTCGAATATTACGGTAACCCATAATCCTAGTCTTTTGCTCTTAAGAACAAATTCGAACCCCATTGGGTTAGAACCACCAAATTTGTTTAGTTGGGGAGGGGGGGGGGGGTGGTGGTACCAGGTTTAATTTACTTCTCACCTGTGTTACTTGAACATGATTACGTGTAAAAGTACCCTGTTGTTTGGTGTAAAATTTTCATGGTACTGTCCCGGAATGAGCGTTGAAGTGTCCATAACCATCTCAGAGTGTAAAGGATAGGATCCGACACCAGTACACGATATCAAATGGACTCTGACTCTCTGAGTAACATGGCTTCTCACTTCTGTACATAGTCTGGCTGCATGCTTTCAATTGCTTCTTCCGTTGAACCTCAGTCTGCATTAGGGTTATTGCAAATAAACTGTAGACGTTACCGTGTGAGTGAGTGTGGCACATTTGTTATTGTAAATCATGGAATAGCAGTAATAGATTGTGATTAGTTTTGTATGGGTACGCAAGGATTGACATGCAGATACGATGATAATATAGCTTTGCTTATGCAGGAACCTGAGCCCATAGACTGGGAGTATTACAGAAAAGGAATTGGCAACAAATTGGTTGATATGTACAAGGAAGCTTATGATGGTATATTTCTGCAATCCTATAATTAATTTTTTTTTTCTATCAAGATATATATTTGTTACCTGAAATTCATGTTAGTTCTACATTATAACATGATATTAAAAGATTAACATGATATTGCAGGATTAGTCATAAGACAGCTTAGGGATAGTTTATATCATGCTCTTTTTATGTTTAATAGACACTTGTGTCTAATGTAGGGTAGGAGAGTGGCTATGCTGTGCTCTAGTCATTATATCTTTATTGAAGAACCTTTAAAACTGGGGAAAAAAAATTAACTTTGTGAGAGCATCATTGATCGCAGTACAACAATAGTCTTTAATATTTTCAACTTTTCTTGTCTTTTCTACCTAATATCATGTTATACCGAATAATCAAATTTGGTTCATGTAGCCGACCCCACTTATGGGATTAAGGCTTTGATTGATTGTCTTTTCTACCTAGTATCATGCTAGATGTAAGGATAGTTTGATTTCCTTACTTTGTCTTCAGCATTTGTAAAGTTTAAGGAGAAGGTACAAGGTCACAAGCATGAGGACATGACTTGTGTCAAAATGAGTAGATAATGTTATTATTTCTTTTCCATTTGGAATCTTCCATTTGAAAATAGAAAAACTTTGAGCATGAGTATTCATAGATTTATACATCATCTGTGCTGCTCTGTATCACTTGCTACATAGCACCTTGTCACATATTTAAAGTTGAGATTTGATGGTGTATAATGGCAAATTAAACAAAATAATTGTTACACAAGCATGATACTAGGTTGACTCTCAAATTTATTTTGAGTGTTTACACCCTCAAATATCTTCCTCTAAATGTGTGCCTAGAGGGCATATTGAGCAGAGGAATTATAAGAAAATCATACTCTTGTTGACTACTTGACTCTGCTCGGGTTTTGATAATAGTTACTGGATTGGATGTTAATAGAATGATTGGAAGCAGTTTTTAAGAGGAAGAGAAGAGAAGAGAAATTGTTGTGATCGAGAACAATAAGAGTTCGTGGAGGAAAAATGGGGGAAATAGTTTCTTACGATAAGTTTTTTTAAGAAGGCAACGAGGAATATTTTTTATCGGGATACCAAGTATAGTATTATGGATACTATTTTTGGACAGAGGGACTATATGCATTGGCTTGAAGCTTCCTATTCCCTTTTTCTGTGTAGTTTTTCTTAGTCGTGAGCTGATTTACATGAATCTCTTTTTAAGATCTATGTTTGGTGTCTTGTAGTGAAGTGATGGTTTTCATAATCTGGCATTCGGGCAATTTTGGAGATTTGCTTGTTAGAATGTTGGCTGTGTTTTGGGGACAAAAGATTTTTTTTTTCTTTCCTTTCCCTTGCCAAAGATGGGAAAGGTTGTTCTGAAATAAATCTGAGAATTATTATAGTATAAAACTTGTGTCTGGCATTTTCTTTGCAACATTCTTGATGTATGGTTTGATGTTTAATTTTAACTTTTCATTTTTTTTGTTCCTGCATTATGCTTAAACTTGCTAAGATTTTACCCTAATGTAATATATTTTTTTCTCTCTAGGCATTGAGATTCCAAAGTACGTGGACAAAGTTACACCAGAGTACAAGCCTAAAATTGATGCCCTGGTGAGTGCATTGATCATTCTAGAGTGCATTGATTATTAGGTGTAGTCAGGCAGTGACATACTCATCTTCATTCAAAGGGACAAAAATGCATAATAACTAAATAACTCTCTTCTGACCCAGCCTAAAACGTGGAAGAAAAAGAACCTCGTATCAAGAGATACTACAGGGTTTTTATTCTCTGCTTTTAGCCATTATAATTCTAATGAGTAATGATGCTCTGATTAGTAACCTTGGTGTGTCAAAAGTTGACTTGTGCTCATATGCTGTGATTTCCTGAGAATAATTTCTATTCATGTGCTTTGAAAGGGCCAAATTAGATCTTTATGGTTTTTGTTCTTTTCACCTTGAATAAGTAATTATTTCATACAAGGGTTACATAAATCTAGTCAGAGGTTTGAATGGTGGATAAAATTATCTTGCAATGGTGATATGGTCATGATCCTATTGGGGTATCTAGTAAATATTTGCTTCATCAAATCAATTTTATCCATATTTGTCAGAGAAAGCATATTCCAGTAAATAATTGCTGCTACAAGAATGAGTAATGCTTAAGATTGTGCTGACCTGTTGTCATGTGTTGTACTGCAGTTGGTGGAGCTGAAAGAAGCAGAACAACAATCTTTGAAAGAGTCTGAAAGATTGGAAAAAGAAATAGCAGATGTGCAGGAGTTGAAGGTAAGGCTATTTCTTTGCAGCTTTGTATTTGCTGAGTGCTATCCTTTGAGCCTCTAGAGCTAGTTGTTTTAGGTCTTCTTTTCTCTCCGTGGACTAAATTATGTTTATTCTCTTTAGAAAAAATTGAGCACCATGACTGCGGATGAGTATTTTGAGAAGCATCCAGAGCTGAGGCAGAAGTTTGATGATGAGATTCGTAATGACTACTGGGGTTATTAATTATGTGACGATTCTGCAATTCCCTTAGGGTGAACATGTTGAGATCATGGTGATTGATCGATATATTAGCATAATAAAATAACTAATTCTGCTTTTTTGGCGATATATTTCGTCCTTGTGAAGGATTTTTTCATTTTTCTCTTATGCTCTTGTAATTAGATTGTGAGGTGCTTGCAAGATAAGAGGCCTTGGTATGAAAGAGCGAGCACATTTGTTTGTCTGATGAGCTAAATACCATGTTGGAATTAATTTTTGAGAATTCATCTTCGTGTTGTGCCTGTTTTTAAAGTTGTGTTGATTTCAATCCTTGTGTGCGTTTGTTTCAGTATTAGGCAAGGTCAATCCAGAATTTATCTTAAGAATATGAAGTAAATAATTACGGTTTTTAATAAAAATCCTGGGGGTTGATATAATTTCATAATCACTTGCTACAAATAGTTAAGATTGTAACATTAAGATAAACTACTCATTACATTATGATTATTTAAGAAATCATCATATTGACAATTTTCTATGTACAATTAGCTATACTACTTCCTTTCTAAATTATTTGCAATGATTTGATATAAAGTATGAGTAAAAAATGTCTAATAGTTGTAAATAATTTGAAATAGAGGTACTCCTAGTATATAAAGTGTGGTACAATAATACCTACTCTATCTCTTGGTTCTTGTGCAAACCCTCCAAGATTTCAACTTTAAATTCACATGTGAAAAATATTTATGATGTGCGGTTTGATAAGCAAATGAATTAACATTATTATTTTCTTGTGAAAGGGTTGTGATCATTAAATTTGTTAATGGAAGAGGTCAAGAGGAAGATTGAATTTAAATTTCAAGTTTCAAAAGTTAGCAAAGAAGCAAAATTAAATACTTTACATATTGATAAATTTGTTCTTGAGGGAAAAAAAAATAATTAAAAGCAACTTAGTTATAAGGATGTCTCGGTAAAGAAAATGAATCAACTAGCATGTAATCACATAAGGCATAACGATGTGTCAATTCAATTTTCTGGGTTGAGTTCGGTAAAGTCGGGTTTAGTCGAATCTATTAATTCGAGTCATGTTAAATTATTGTGTCCATATAAAATGAATTTGGTTTTTTCTAATCCGTTTTAGATCGGATTGTTTGGGTCAACAACTCAACATTTGATATCTTAGACGTCACATGTAAAATTGTCAACTGAACATGCATGGCCTTAATACAGTTAGACCTACCTACCCCTTTCTCTAAATTTACCTAGGCAGTCATATTAGCCAAGACAGCCGCCATGGCCCATTTTTTTCACTTTCTCCATCCAAAACAAAAAGGAAAAGTATTCTTGATTCTCATTTGTCTCATCTGAATCCCAAGATTCTACTGCACCCATTTCTGTAATCACTCCATGAAAAACATTCTTCCTCACCATTCTATTCGCCAAAAAAATGTCAACTTCTCTTCTATCCTCCTTTAATCTTACCCTTAACACCCAATTTAACACCCTTAAATCTTCATCCCTGCAAAACCCTTGCTGCATTACTCATAAATTCATCCCCTCTAAGATTATAAAGCACCCATTTTTCTCCAATTCAACTGTAAAGATACCACCTTTTAAATCTAGTTTCAACAATGCTGCTCATTCTTCTGTAACTTCTTTTGTTACAGATGAAGCAGATGATTTAAAACTTGATCAAAGTGTTATAAAACAGGAGAAAAAGAGTTTTTGGGGTGCTGTTAGTCTGATAATTGGGACTGCTGTGGGTCCTGGAATGTTAGGTTTACCATCTGCAACAATAAAATCAGGGCCATTACCATCTACTATTGCCATTTTATTTTCATGGGTTTATGTCATTTCTTCCATAATTTTAGTTGCTGAGCTTAGTTTTGCTACAATGGAGGAAGATGGGGTCAAAGAAGTGAGCTTTACTGGGTTAGCAATTAAGGCCTTTGGCACCCATTTTGGTGCATTTGTTTCAGTTGTTTATGCTAGCCTTAGTTTTGCTCTTCTTGTTGCTTGTGTTTCTGGTATTAGTTCTATTGTTTCTCAATGGTTTCCTAGCTTAAACAATGTAGTATTACATGGGATTTTCCCTTTGTTTCTTGGGAGTATCATTTGGTTCTTCCCGTTCCAAATAATCGATTCGACTAATCGATTTCTGTGCTTTATGATGCTTGTTTCTATCATTACTTTGGTGGGTATTGGTGTTTCAGTTGCTAGAGCTAATATTGTAAGTTCATTGTCCTGTTCATCTTGGCATGTTTTCACTATTTTACCTGCCATTCCTGTCACTGTCCTTACCTTAGGGTTTCATGTTATTACACCTTTTATATGTAAAGTTGCTGGAGATAGTATTGATGAGGCTCGAAAGGCAATTCTTATTGGTGGGACTGTTCCATTGATTATGGTTTTGGCATGGAATCTTATTGTATTAGGACTTGCTGGAACTGGAAAAGCTCAATCATCATGTATACAAGGAGACCCTATCAAATTGCTGTTGTCTGTAAAATCTTCTTCTTTGTTTGCTGTTCAAGGATTTGCATTTTCTGCTTTGGCTACTAGCTTTATTGGCTATGCTGTTAGTTTTCCCAAGCAGTTGATTGACACCTTGGAGTTGATTTTTCGTTTTAGTAAATCGGAAAATGAGTTGGGCTCTATAGAGTCTTCAGGGGAAACTAGGATTGTAGATGTTAGTGATGAATCAATCTTGAAGGGAAATGGTTTTAGGAAATTCGAGAGGCTTGTATCTGTTGCTCTAATTCTTGTTCCAGTTCTTGTTGCTTCCTTCTATCCCTCGACATTCTCAAGGGCGCTCGACTTTGCTGGGGTGTATGCAAATTGTTTTCTGTTTGGCATTCTTCCCCCTGCCATGGCATATATTTATAAATCCCAGAGAAAATACAGGTACTATCAGTATATTCACTCTTATGTCAAGATATTACTAGCTGTTCTCTGTAAATTTAGAAGGAAAAGCTATTAAAAGGAAAATATGTAAGAAAAATACAGTGGAACTTCAATCTGCTTGATGATGAGTTGTTTTTAGAGTCTCAATCAGAATTCTGATGAGTTGAGAATTAAGACAATGTTATAATTTTCTTGCTGGCTTTGATTTTCTTTGTCCCACCGTTTCTAAAAAGTAGGGGTGATAGGATTCCTTGCAACTAGCGATTAGGTGTTTTATGTGTCTTGGAGGTTTGAGCCTATTGTATCCTTGTTTGGTTGTTTACATAGTGAAATTAAAGATATCCTTTATATTGCTAATTGATATGGATTATAATGAACAATTCTTAGTTAGACATAGACTGTTCTTGGGAATTCACATGATTTGGAGTCTCAGTAAATAAGAAAAATGAAGTTAGTGATTATGCTGAAATCAAAGGCAAATGAAAGATAATCCTGACTTGATAAAGTATTGCTTCTACCGGAACCACTTTGTCTGTGGCACTTTTGTTTGGTGTGAGAGTGGAGGTGGTGTGTGTTAAGGGTTCATATCATCTTATGTAATTGCGTTTAAGAATTAGGTTTCCGTTTAAAACGAAGTTGATAGATTTCAAGCTTTCAAGATTAATTTTTGGTTAAAGTTTTCTAGATTGATTAATGTTTTTAAGGCTCTGAAACTGTTCTGTTTGAATCACAGGTCTTCTTTGCCTGGAGGACATATGGTGCTTTTCCTCCTCTTTAGCGTCGCTGTCATACTGAGCATCTGGCATTAGATGGCCATGATCAAGACTTCGAAGCTCAGATGTATTTTTGTGGAACTAATTTTAGTTATACATTGCTAATGATGTTCGAGGCTGATCTTGTCTATATCTCAGCAAGGTAACATGACAAATAGTTTTTAGATCTCTTGTAATTGTTCAATTGGAGTGGTAAATTTCCCTAACATCCAATAGTTAATGTAATGGTTGCTTGTGGAATCAGAAATCCTTTGTATCCTGCCATTACATCTAGCATGTTAGTCAGTTGTAGCTCATTAAGTCATAATCCTTGCGACGTTGAGCATCATACCCTTATTACTTGAAATCACTGACTATAAAATAAATATATTCATCCCTTCACTTCATCCCTAGAATTATTATGATAAAAAAAAAAAAAATGGAAACTTGATAGAAAAATGATATTATTCATTTCTTGATGCATTTTTGTCATGCATTAAAATATCTGTACACTGGTTTGATCTAGGATACCATTTGTTAAAGCCTTAAAGGCGATACACAAACACATAGGGTGTGAATCAAGTTATATGATGCCATGTCTGTCCTTAGTCCTCAATGTTTGAAGGAGGAGAAGAGCTAGATCCATATTTAAAAGCTACATAAACTCCAATTGCGACGACTGCTGCTACTGCAACTCCTAAACCCACGTTCACCTTCTTATGCACTTGCAATCTTCCCACGGAGCTTCCAAGCCCAAACATGTTATCACCCTTTGCCTGATCATAACTAGTGCTTGTTCCTGCTTTACCATTCTCCGAACTTGGAGCCTTTGGCTTTTCATCTTTAGGAGCTTGGACTTCTGATGTCGGCTTTTGAGTAACATCTGGTTTTGGAGCACCTGATGATGTTGTTTCTGGCTTCATCTGCTGCTGCTCAATCTGGGGAGAGGCTTTTTTCGGCATGGTAACATGAAGGTGGCCCCCACTGAACTTTGCTCGAATGTCATTTATGTTGCAGCCTTGTGGTATCTTTGTTTCCTTGACAAAACGGTTTCTTTTGGTTCCATCTGCAGTTGCCACCTTCTCTCCGCTTACTTTGAGAACTCCAAGATTATTGACTTGAACCCTTAGTTGATCTTTCTTGAAATCTATACGAATAGAGATATAATGAAATGATATTCATTCAAAATCAGATTTTAGTTAATTTTCTCTCTAGAAAAAAAGGCAAAAAAAATTACAAAAAAGCAGAAAGTAGTGAGAATAGAGACATACCGGGAAGATGGAAGTCTAAAGTTTCAACTCCTTCCTCTTTCTTCCATTCACAATAGGGTTCAAAATCGATGTAAGTAGGCAATGTAATAGTTGCAGTCTTGGTTTTGTTTGCCATTGGCTTTGGTTGTTTGTAGCTTTCGTATATACAAGAACGTGTTGCGAAGATATAGCTAATTGTTAGGATATTCTGTTAGAAGAACGACCCGTATCCCATTTATAGGTATGGTTTAGTAAGGGCATCTCTTTGGTTTTCCATTAAGATTTCCTCTGAAAGGAATTATTCTTGTTTGCTTTCTTGAGTGTTAAGTTGCTTTATATCTTTTGCTGTGATTAGCTGACTTTCTTCTGAATAGGCATACAATATTCCTTTTGCATACTAACTTTCTAGGTTTCTTTGCATATAGAATTTTCTGGTTAATCACACGTCTCCTGTTGCAAACCCATGGACCGCGGTTGCTTCTGATTTTATATTTGGTTGATGATAATAGGCAGTGACAGTTTTGGAGTTGTAGAGAAGTTATGCATTAAACAAATACATAATCACAATATGATTATTATTTACAGCGCAATACTATTGTTTAATCTAGGGGAATCGAATAGCTTTTTTCCAACGTTTATAAAATAATGTTTGTGAATATTGATTTTGTATGGATTTTTGTATACTCAAATTACCTTTGTAGAGCTCTCATGTATATTACTTAGGATCTACTCTTCAAAAGTTTAGCAATGTGCCTAATACTAAGCTCTAAGCCAAGCTCTATAGAGTAAAGAAGGTATTGATCCATTGCTCATTGGAGGTGTGTGACTTTTAACATTCTTGGGATAACTTCTAGGATTTTGGATGATTGTTGATGTCATTGGGATAACAATTTTGGTGGATCCATCTTTGGTGTTAATCTCATAAACGTAAACAGTTCGGCCTTGTTAATTAGCTGGTAACTAGTTGATATAATTGATTGTGTTAACTGGTTTGACTAATTTGTTGCATTATATGCTTTGACTAACTATTCATATCACCTACTTTACCAATCTCCAAAGTAGCTTATTGCAAGAATTGCTCCAACACCTCTTACAAAATACTCGGTTGAGTAAAACTTTCAAATTAGCTTATTGAAGAATTCCAATGCTCTCTTTAAATCATCTGTTTTCCAAACACCAAAACTAGCTGATTTTATTTGTGGTCAAACCATCTAATTGCTCTACAAAAACTAAAATCTCATCAATCATCTCTTTACCAAACAAGGCCTTCATGCAAGGGTTTACCTATTTCCATTTTTTGTTGGTACCCCAAAACAAGGAAAGACAAAAGGCATGCACCTAATATTAGAGGATTGTATTCTGTGTTTAATATGCTGCATGCTACCGTTTAGTCTGTCAATTTGAACAACTTACATATTAACATATTATCTAACACGAACATTTTTTTAATCCCAACCAAAGCGACACAACTATACTCCTGAGTCCTGGCAGATCTTAGCTAGTCTAGTTATTGATAGTTGAAAGGGTAGTGCCAAGTTATTGAGGGTGGTTGTACTTGGAAAGACAGGACAATAGTTAAGCTAATGCTCAGACGGCACAATGGTGCCAATAAGATACATAATTGATAGATCCAATTGGAGATCTCCTGTAACTTTTCAAAGGACTTTCATTAGAAATTCTATATTAAAATACAAGATGTGGTTTAAAGTCATGGTGCATTTTGGTTTTGACGAACATATATATTTACCCGAAAACCAAGACGGCAGAATATTGCTGTACTGTTATAGTGTAGGGGGCATGCCTTATTTATGACCCTGAATTGGTTTTTATCTTGAGGGTGTTTCGAGTTATTTCGATACTTATTGACAGATATATCAGGGAGCTCAGGGATGAATACAGGGCGGTACTTAGGGTAGTGAAACGCAGAATTTGCTTGCATTGAAACATGTATGAATCTGGAATTTGTCGTTACTATAGACTTCCATAAACTATAGGAAATGCAAATGCAGTTTAGCAATTTGGATCTATATGTTATTAAAAGGAACACAATCTTTAGAATTTTCATCAATTTATGTACCAAAGTTTACATTTATTCATGCCTGGAAATCTATCTATACATTTGTCCAAGCTCATAACCCGATGTAGAAGAGAATAGTATACAACATTTGGAGTTTATATAAGTCCTGAATCATCCATATACATGGATGGAGAAGAGATGCTATTAGACCCATATTTAGAAGCCACGAAAGCTCCGATTGCTATCATTGTTACAGCTGCAATTCCGAATCCCAAAGCACACTTCTTACTTCTTCGCAGCCTTTGCATTATGCTTCCATCCTCAAACAATTGATCAGCCTTTGGCTGTGCACAAGTACTTGTCCCGGACTTTGCACCATGTTCTGTACTTGTTGTACCCTTTGCCTTTTGGTAATCATCTGATACCGTGGCTGCCTCAGCTTTCGGCTTTTTATCAGTAGCCTCTGGTTGAGGAGGAGCTGACTGTCTTGATGATGCAGGCTGCTGTTTGGTGCCTTGAGGAGTTTCAGGTGTAACTTTTTTCTTAGGCATCATGATGTGAAGGCTTCCATCACTGAACTTGGCTCGAACCTCATTCATATCACAACCCTCTGATAATTTTTCTTCCTTGAGAAAACGACTCTTCTTTGTTCCATCAGCAGTTAATGGTCTTTCGCCGCTTATTTTGAGGACTCCTTCTTTACTAATTTGCACCCTGAGTTGATTTTTCTTGAAGTCTAGATGCACATATAAAAGAATTGAAATGAGTATGTATGCTTTTGCTAAAATGATTCCATTCAAATATAAAAATAATCTTGTCACCTTATCGCTGTGATTTGTTTTATTTTTTTTTTTATTTTTTTTTTCAAAATCATATGATATATGTTATATAATAAATAAAAAATTGATTAAACTAAAATAATTTTTAAAATTGACAACAGAATAGTGAAAACATTGTTTTCTTGTTTTATTTTTTGGGTTTTTGTTTTCAAAAAATTAAAAAAGTGAACACAATAAACAATGCCAAACAAACCCATGTATGTGTTTCTGAAACACAATATAAAAACAGAACAAAGAAGTAGAGAAATTTGACTATACCAGGAAGATGGATGATCAAAGTTTCAAGACCTTCCTCTTTCCGCCATTCGATAGCAGGATTATACTCGACGTAAGAAGGTGAAGTCTTGGTTTTGTTTGCCGACATTGTTTTCAATTCGTTAAATTGCTTGTACTATATGTTACTACTATGTATGTTAGAAATGTTGAGAGAAGAATGATTGTGTGGATATTCAAGGAAGAATGCCATAATGTTGTTTATATAGGTGATGATATGAAAGGCATCTTATTAAGTTTATATTTTTAGATTAGGATTTCCTGCAGAGTGATTATACCTCTTTGCTTTCTTGACTTTAAAGTTGCTTTATGAATTTGCCTATGTTGTATTATGTAGCAAGTATTTGCCTTGTTAAAGAAATATATGTAAAACACTAAACACACATTTTCGTATAATCAAAATAATTAATTAAGTACATTAAGTCCTAGCTAATAGGGGAAGTTTATTTATTTATTTATTATTATTTTTTATTTATTTATTTTTTTTTTTGACAAATGCTGCTTGCCTGCTTGTCATCTAGCCAATATCTATTTTTTGTCGATAAATAATCGATGATTGTTTATTTTTTGGATGCCATAGTATGAGGCTGCAATAGGATAGGATTGCTGCTGGGGATTTAAATCTGGGGTTCGAATTGGACTAGTTACGGCCTTACGGGTAGTGTTTATTGAGTTTCGGTAAAAACTGGTAGACAGGTTTTGGTTAAGAACTTGTGGTAAAGTGTTTCAAAAAAAAAAAGAACTTGTGGTAAAGTGTTTCAAAAAAAAAAAAAACTTGTGGTAAAGGTCTAATTGTAATACGGGAGTATATAACTAGGAGTTTTGGTCTATTATAAGGAATAGGATTTATTTTTTTAATTTTTAATTTTATTATTTTTTTTTATAAAAAAAGACAATTCCTATTTGGCCGATGTTTTACTACTAGTTGGGCCCTAGAAAGTTTTTTCCGCAAAATTTGTTGTCTTACTTCCTTTTAAGTTCTTTTATTATATGTCGGTTTAAAATCAGGTTGAGGTCAAGTTAATATCAGCCCAGATTCTGATAAGTACTTAAGTCAAATAGTAGGTCGGAAGAATTGGGTTAATATCCACTTTTAAGTACTTTAGTTGAATAATAGGTCGGGTCAAAATCTGATCGTTAATTAACTTTTTTTTGTTATCACATTCGACTAAGGGTCTGTTCACATTTACTGAACTGAATTGATTAGAGCTGAACTGAACTGAGCTGAAATGAATATTTTAAGAGAGAGAGAAATTAGGAACTGAATTGAACAGAACTGATTAGAGTTGAACTGAACTGAACTGAACTGAACCGAACTGAACTGATTGGAGCTGAACTGAAATTAAGTAAATGTGAACAAGCCCTAAAGTACATACTTACAAGAAGACAGAATTGTGTCCCTCATGATGCACGTTAGCCGTGTCAATTCCTGGGTTGAATCATGATGGGACGAGTCAATTCGAGTCAAGTTAATTTTGGATCGTGCTAATTTTAGGTTAAGAACTGTCGGGTTAGGGTCGTGTTTGAGTTGGATTTAATTCTGATCGGTTCATTTCTAGTTTTGATAAATTTGTATCAGATTTAATATAGGGTTTGACTGAGCTAATTACGGGTTGAATGACTGGTTGGGTTGATTAAGTTTCGGTTAAGTTTGGTTCAATTTTATTAGGATAAGCTAAGGTTGAATCAATTTGGGTTGATTCTGATTTAGGTCTTTTACAAATTTAGCTGTATTTGGATTGGATTGACATATTAAATATTCATATAAGGTCATTTTTAAACCAAAGTAATTGTGGAGTTATTACCTTGTTATTAGGTCACTATTAGGTCATTCATGAGACATCTTTCATATCTCGCCCTTAACACTTATCAATTTTCTCATTAAATTAGTTCTTGTATCAGTAGTATCTTTAAGTCAAATGAAAGTCAAATTATAGATGACTTCTCATAGCTATGTAAGTGAGACGATAAGTAATGAACTAAAGGACAAATTGATAGATGATAGCCACAAATATAATAGTAGAGTTATGTTTAAGTTAAAAATAGAAAGTTCTTAATGATTAATGAAACGAACAATTACATGAATTGAACTAATTATGTTTAAGTAAAAAAAGGAAGGTCAATAATAGGTTGGGTTTAAAATTAAGTTTGGTTAGAGTATGTGTCTGGTTAAAAATCAGATCATGCGGGTTAATATCAGGTTGGGTCAGATCAGATTGACTCTAGATCTGCCCGATTTCAGATCAGGGGGAGTTCAAGTCGGGTTAAGATGGTGTCGATTTGAGTTCAAGTTAGGGTTAAATCAGTGCTAGGTAGGTTCTTGTTAGGTCAAATTGGTGCCGGATTAAATTCATATGGGTCCTAATACGAATTCGAGTTTGGGTTTTTTTTTTTTTTTTTTTTTAAAATCAACCGTGTTGCAACAGTGTTTTAGAAAGAGCCATAGATAATATAAATATAATTGGCTAATTGCACAACCATGTCCAATCCTTTGGATTTAAAATACTTGAGTACATAATCAAAATTAAAATTGAAGAAATTTCATCAATTTATCTACCATCCTTTTATTCAAGCTATAAATCATTATGTACACTTAGTTAACATTACATACAGTTTATATAGAAGAATCAGGATTAGTTAGTTTGCATTAATCCTTACTCCTTACTAAACAAAGAAGGAGAAGAACTGCTATCAGACCCAAATTTAGAAGCCACAATAGCTCCAATTGCTACCAGTGACACAACCGCGATTCCGAAACCTAAGGCCACCTTGTTACTTCTTCCTTGTAGCTTTTGTTTGACGCCTCCATTCTCACCATTTGGCTTATCATCATAACCACTACTTGTCTCGGCCATTTTACCATTTTTAGTACTTGTAGTTGTACCCTTTGGCGTTTGATCCTTGGAAATCGAGGCGGCCTCAGCTTTCGGCTTTTGATGATCATTAATTACCTCAGCCTTCGGCTTTTGATCATGGATGACTTGAGGAGTTGGTGGTGTAGTAACTACTTTCTTTGGCATTGTGATATTAAGGCGGCCGTTAATGAACTTGGCTCGAATCTCGTTTACATCACAGCCCTCTGGAACTTTAGTTTCCTTTACAAAACGGTTCCTCTTTGTTCCATTTCCATTTGTTGGTCTTTCTCCATTTATTTTGAGGACTCCATCTTTGTTAACTTGCACCCTCAATTGTTCTTTCTTAAAGTCTGTACATTCATGTAAATTCATACAAAAAAAAAAGTTAGTAAATTAAATTTCTTATTTCTTTTCTACGGTGGTCATTTGAAATATGACTACCTTATTATTTTAATGATAAACAATATGAGAGATTCATTTTTTCACACTATAAATTGGACACAATTAGTATTCTAATTTCTACAATGCAAATATAATTTTTGAAAATTTTAATAACGTAAAATAAATATTTTTCCGAAAAACTATAAAATAAGTTTAAAAATTACATAAATAAAACTAAAAATTTGATAAATTAACAAAATGTTAATAATAATATTTTGTAGCAAAAATAGATTAATTTATATAATTACTTGGATAAAAATACGTTAATTATGAACTATATAATCATTAAAATATTATGGTAGTCATATTTCAAGCGACCACTATAGAATTTTTAAGGAAAATTATCATTACAATAGTTTTTTTTCTTAACTTGGGTCACATGCACGCCCATCTTTTTATTATGGGACATTGAGAGTATATTAACGTACAATGTGAGAGCAATAACCTTTTATAATTGCTTCTTTATTAAGATGGCAGTATGGTACCCTATTATTCCAAATCAAAAGCTAGAAAATTTAAAAAGCATTGCAAATATAGAAAGCTATGACAATACCAGGAAGATGGATGATCAAAGTTTCAAGTCCTTCCTCTTTAACCAAATCACAAGCAGGTTCGAACTCGACGTAAGAAGGAGATGCAGGGGTTGAGGTCTTGGTTTTGATTGCCATCTATTTTCTTAGGTTATATTAAGAGAAGGATGGTTGTTTGGAAACTAAGGGAAATCCCTCCTCTTTATATAGGTGTTGATATGAAGGGCATCTTTAGTTCTTTAATTTGAGATATCCTGTTTATAAATTATTCTTCTTTGCTTTCTTGAGTTGTAAGTTGCTTTATGTCGTCTATACCTATGCTATGTATAAGTTCCTATTGTGAAGATAAGACATAAATAAATACTTATCTTTGTAATTTGATTTATGTTTTGTACTTTTGTGTACTTAATTAATGAATAAGTTTTAATTTCTGTGAATTTTAAAAGATTCTTTGATCTTTCATGTTAAAGTCTCATTGGTGGTATATGGTATATCACTTGGATGAGAAAGAGGAAAAAGAAAATTACAACTTTTGTAATGACATTAGTATCAGTAAAATACAATCTTTTATATATATGTGATGGCTAGACAGTGTGGCCGGAGTTACTTGAAAGGGGTTACTCGTTTATTGAAATTTTTTATAATAAATTATTATTAGAATTTTAGATCTACATATTAAACATAATAATTTCTTCACTAATTTGCACAAAACACGTTTAATCTCTTATCTTATTTTTGAACCCTATTTTCGAATTGAATAAAACATACTGATCCATGAAGGAATTGGATTAATGAAATTAATAATCGACATAGTAGTGAACGAATTGATGATCAATTTGGTGAAAAAAATTATAGAAGAGATTGATCATGGCGGTTATTAAGATCCAAGGATGAGAAACATTGAATAGCAAAGTTTTAATTTTAATTTTATATTTTAATAATATAAAAGTGTGAAAATTAAAATTTTTTTTTACTTTTACCACAAAAAAAAAACATTTTTTTTTACCACCAAACTTCTAAAAATTTTATTTTACCACAAAAAAAAGTGTTTTTTTTACCATCTACCATCTAGAAAACCGTTAAATCTAACGGTTTGAAAAAAAATATCTTTGATTTTTATGCGCAAACACATGTTCCTCACAGGTTTTTGGGGGATTTTGGCGCTTCAACTCCAATTTGAGGTCAGAACTGATAAATATGATCGAAAATGCCTTGTTTTGCGTGTTTCACGCTGTAGGGAATAATTTCAAGCATTTCACACTTGAACTCCACTGTGATCATACACTTAAGTATGGTGGCGTCCAAAGGGAAGGAAGCTAGAACAAAAGAGTCGCCAACAAGTTTTAGGAACTTGTAAACCGTTCACAGGGTGAAGGTTACACCCTTTCACGATCCATGAGATCGCTAACTCCATTGTGCTCTGGAACCATGACTGGATATTCGGGGATGAAGGTACAAATCCAACCTACAAGAGATAGAACGTGCCCTAAAAATAGGCCTCTACTTTATTCTTCTCATATTCATGTGCGCTTTCTGACTAACATACAATCAATATATTAATCTTAAACCTGTTTAATCTATGTTGGTTGAATATTAATGCACAAACAAATCTATTATTGGCGATCAATTGAATTAAAATCATATTAGCCTAACTAAAATCATTAATTATCTTATTAAGCGTAATTACGAGTACAAATTCCCTTTAATTTTGCAAGAGAGGGCGTGATCAAGCAATAATAATATGTCAAGCAACATAACAACAACAACAATCATCATAATAACAATCTCAATCTCAATCTCATCAAAGCATAATAATATTATTAGCAACATCTTAGGTATAATACTAACTAGATTAATAACAAATCCTAGCATGTCACTAAGCATTAAAGATCAAAGCTTTAGCCCTAACATGATAGAAAAAAATAGGAAGCTACCTAAACATGATACTAGAAAGCAATAAATAACATCCTAATATGATACTAGGAAGCAATAAAAGCATCCTAACATGATACTAAGAGTTAAAATAACATAAACATGCTTTCTAAATATATAGAGCGATAAAACAACTTACTTTGTTACCTCGTATCTCTTTCTATCAAAACAATATACACTTTAGTAACTTCAAGGAAAATATTAAATCAAACAATTAATTTAAATAATTGAAATAGGGATTTGGACCAAACCCTCAGAAATTATCAACCTTTCACGTTTAGGGCGAAGGAAACTTCGAGCTTGGCTAGGTGTGTCTAGAACTCGTGAAGGAGGAATGTTGTATTTGAAAAGGCAAGGCTATAAAGCATAAGAAAGAATAAGCTTTTAACTAAAGAGAGAGAAGAGAATTAGAATTGTTGATGATTTAAAAACAGAGAATATCGACCCTATTTTTAGAGAAAATAGTCCGAAAACGATAGAAAGAGTTAGAATTTGAATCGGAATAAAATTGGTTTTTTCGCAGAGCGATAGGGTCCAGCACGGCGCGACAGGGCTGTCGCGGCGCGCTGGGACAGTTTTTTGCAGATTTTGTTTTTATCATATCTTTTGATACAGAAGTCCAAATAAGTCATATAATATGTCGTTGGAAATCTATTGAAGTCTAATTTCAACCCAATTGTAATTAGATTATAATCCTTTGTAGAATAAAATATATGGCCGAAATAGTGAAAGGGTGTCAGTTTTGGATAAAGTTTCGTATTTCTTTCATATCTTCTTTGTTATAGCTCGAAATTAATATTATAATATATCATTGGAAAGATAATTTTAAGATCTATCCAACCATCTAAGGTTTGGATAAAAAATATGATGTACGAAAATAATAAATGATCATCTTTGAACGACATTCATTTTGAATAGAATTAGGACTTAAAAAAGGAAAGTTTTGTCCAATTTTAAACTCTTTGATCTTATCTTTTTTAAAAAGGATAATTAAGATCACTTAGAAACTAATAAAAAATTTCTAATAAATCCTATTTAATTTAGGAATGGGATTAAACCTTTGGAACCTCCACATGATCATTGGGCGTAGGTAAAATCCGGTTTGAGCCTAGTTTAATATTTTGGCCATAGCTTCCTCATTATTCATCGGAGTTAGGCTTATATTATATTATTGGAAAATTCTTTTCAAGCCCCATCCAACTACACAACTACCGGACCTATATTATGGACCAAACTAAAGTGGATTGGACAGTTTTCATAAATAGGATACGAAAAGAAGTATTTTCGAGAATAGAAAGAAGTATTTTTATTATAAAACAACCGCATCACAAGACTTTTCACACTTTCACTTCGTTCGATAAGAAATGACGTGAAAGATATTCATCACTGGGTTTGGTTTTGGAGAGACACAATCAGGTGTCTACACACGCAAATCGAGGTATTTTCTAGTAGGAAAAACTAGCCATTTACGATCATTTTTTTTTGTAAATTATGACCTCAAATTGGATCCTTAGTGACAAAATGCCCCCAAAATCCCTAAACACCATGTGTTTGGCACAAAAATCGAAACATTTTAAAAATTGCGTTAAGTTTACCGGTTTTTTGATGGTAGGTGGGTAAAAATAATTTTTGATTTTTTTCGTGGTAAAATAAAACTTTTAGAAGTTTTGGTGGTAAGAAAATAATTTATTGATTTTTTTGGTGGTAAAAGAAAAAAAAACCCGGAAAATTAGGTATGAAATAAAAACATTGTTTTTAAAAAATAGATTTTCAAAATTAATAATAGAATTTAAAAATTAAAATAAAATTATTTTTTATTATTTTATTATTAAAAAATAAAAAAGAAATGTCATGTCATAAAACTAGGCCAATAAAAACGCGTCACACATGCATGTTATTTTAGTCATTTTAAGAATAACTATCTACCATAGACTTTTTATACAACGTTTGTTAACTTTTTTTTTTTCACTTGACCCATTTAGAGTTTTACATTATTTACGAGCTCATCCCTTAACCGTCTTTTGTGAATTATTGTTGGGGATTTTGTGTTTACAAAGGTCACAAATAAAATTGCAAATGAAATTAACGAAATAAACTTCGAGGCATGAACGAGATCGCTTTCCCAAAAGCATAATTTTGACCCTATACTACAACCAGGCATCACGGAAATTTACTCATGAGATACAACGAAGAACAATTGCAATCATAAGTAGGATGGTTACAATACAATATACATAAGCTTTAGTAATTTGTGATAATTTAATGAACAATAACTGATTTCTACAAGTTCTCTTTTATTAATATGAACTATCATATTTATATCAAGAGCAATAAACCAATCAAAACTGAAGAATAATCGTCAAAATTTCCCTGCGCGCCCTGCCAGGCGAGAGAAACCAAGCAACCCAGAAAAATTTGGGTGTTCTCGCGCCCTGCTAGGCGGTGACATCGTTTAATTATTCTTCGCTCTCGCTCTCCCGCCCTACCGGGCGCGCCACTGGGAGGACTACAGGGCGAAGGAACACTTCTCTATTTTTTTTACACAAAGGAACACTCCTCTAAATCGAGATACAACTTGATCTTGTACTTGTTTAATTGAATTGCAACACCTTAGCCTAAGCAATTTAATCAAACACACGAATATATGTCACTAATTCTCTAAATAATTCAACAATCCTCCCCCATTTAGAGTATTGAATTTGACTCATTGTAAAACATCATCATCACAAAAACAATCTTATACATAAATGAAAGTGTACAAAGACTTGAACTCCCACTTAGTGCAAAATACAATTCAAGAATCCGTATCCATTTGGTATCGTAAAACGTTTGAACGAAAAACAACACATATTGAATACTTGAACATATTACACACACAAGATTAATTACTTATATACATATTTACTTGACACTTAACTCACGTGTCCATATCTATTCATAAGTACATCAAAGCTATGCCTCTAATAGCTTCTTGAAGCGACTAAACCTCGTACTTATATAGGTAGAATCCCAAACATGCTCCTATGACAAACACAATATTAGGAATTCTAATATGTTAAACAACCTCTTATAGAGCACAGTAAATCTGGAACTTCACCTTGGATGAATAAACAAGTTCCCCAATTAGCAAATAAGAAAGGTAATCTTATTGAACTTAAGACCCAACATCTTATTGGGCGTTAAATTAAGACTCTCTCATTTGTAATTATTTATTAGGACTCCAATCCTAAACCAATCGCCATCCTGTTATTGTTAAC